AATGCATTTTTTTCTTTTTTGTTACTTTCAAATGTGTTTTAATATCTATATTTACATAAACCTTTTATATGTATTATATCTTTTTATATGTATTTTATCCTGTTAATGGTGGTTGTTGTCGCTGTTGGTCAATACAAATGGAATAACCATATTAAATATATTAGACTTATAAAGATATATAATATTACGTATGAAGATAACATAAATGAACATATTATTACGCTTTTTGATTTATCGAATCTTTGAGCAAAATAATTTCAGTTACCAGTATTTTAAAGGTATCTATTTAGATCACAATAGATTGTATTTTTGACTTCATTTGTTTTGTAATATGTCCGTGATAATTCAATCATAAATGTTTAATGGAAATATTTCTTATGTTAGTAAATGCAATAATGTTATACTATTTTAATGATTTTATACTATTTTAATGCTTTTTCTTCTAATGGTGGTTGTTGTCGCTGTTGGTCAATACAAATGGAATAACTATATTAAATATATTAGACTTATAAAGATATATAATATTATGTATGAAGATAACATATATGAACATATTATTACGCTTTTTGATTTTTCGAACATTTGAGCAAAATAATTTCAGTTACCAATATATTAAAGGTATCTATTTAGATCACAATATATTGTATTTTTGACTTCATTTGTTTTGCAATATGTCCGTGATAATTTAATCATTAATGTTTAATTGAAATATTTCTTATATTAGTAAATGCAATAATGTTATACTATTTTAATGCTTTTATACTATTTTAATGCTTTTTGTGTTCTTTGTCTTTTATCATCGTACTGTGTTTTAATAATATATCTTATTACTTTTTACTGTCTTTTAATGTTTTTATAGTTTATCTTACTGTTCTAACATCACTTATGTTTATGTTTGATCGCTTAGCTTCAAAGCACATTTCTGTTATTGCTGCGAAGCAGCCAATTCATATTCTTGACAGCAATTTGACCTCTGAAAGGTCATTGTTTGTCAAAAAACAAGGGCCTAAGACGACTGAAAAGCGGAGTTTTCTTCTTTCGTTTAGCCGGGTAAAATCAATTACTTTAGGCGACGTTTGTAGACTAACCAACACGTACTAACGTCCGCATGTCGCGCTAGCCTTATCCTACTCTAGGCCTAGACTAGCTAGGATGGTATAGGCCTAGCCTTGAAGGGGCGAAGGTCCCGATGAAAAACAACGTCGCTCCTTGATAGCTAAAGTTGTCTATTTAACATCACAATAATTCATTATTAGACCTATAGTTGTTTTTTGAATAATACTCCACAAATCTCAGCCGATACCTCGCACAACTCGAGTAACGTCTCGTATCTATTGTAGTGACGTCATGGCTCGCTGGCTCACACTTGCGATGTATCGCACTTGTAATCAAATAACACGCTGGCTCGCACTTTGGCAACACTCTTTGGCAGACAACTCGCACCTAGAAAACCCGCCCTTGGAAACTTGCCCCATAAAAAAATGTACACTTCCTAGACCATGCAGTCTTCAAAATAAAAATTGTAACCTACATTTTCCACATACTGTACATAGAAATTATAAACACTTTTTGACAAAAATGAAAAATTACGACTTTGTTACCCAATGAGAAGTGTTCTGATATAGACAATGGGTCGTGTCTCATATTATTTGTTATATTTTTATTATTCATTATTTTCACTTGACTCGCATAAATAATTTTGTAAGAACATTTATATGCAGTTGTACTTCGCAGCACTTCACTTGCAATTAGCAATTTCTAGTATTTATGTATAATAGACTGAATAAAATTAATTAAATTGAATTGAATAAAATATACATTGAGCCGTCTGTGTATCCCATAATAAACGATGCAACAATTACTCACGTCTGGCTGACTGCGTTTTGGATTTTCACTAGGCGAATTTGTTTGACCGTACGCACGTGTAGTTTAATTTACATGCACGAGTCATTGTTCGCTGTTGTAACACCTACTAACGTAACAATTAACCGCTAATGTAATATTAACCACTAACGCAATAAAAATCAATCACTAACGTAACATTAACCACTAATGTAATAAAAATCAACCACTAACGTAATAAAGTCATTAATCACTAACGTAATGAAAATCAACCACTGACGTAATAACGTTAAGCTTTTACAAAAAAAAAACGTTGGACTTTAAAAACAATCTAAATTAAGGGAAAAGCCAAAATTTATGGGGAAAAAGTCAAACAACAAAGTTAAAATGTATTTAGTTATATATTATGAAATACCATATGCATAATTCCAGTAAAATCTGGGCTCAATCGAATAATGTTTATGTGACTTGATCTTGACCGATGAACTTTGGCCTTTCTTTTTCTAAATATTTTAATATGATTCAAAATACCAAAAGGATTTCAGTGAAATTTGGATGCAGTTGGAGCATTAATAATTTGACCTAACAATTAACATTTTTTCTAAAGTCAACATTATTATTTTGTGTAAAAACTTAATATTATTACGATAGTGGTTGATATTTATTACGTTAGTGGTTAATGAAGTTGATTACGTTAGTGTTTAAAGTATTATTACGTTAGTGGTTAACGATTTGTTACGTTATTGGTTGATTTTTATTACATTAGTGGTTTGTGTTACGTTAGTGGCTGAGATTTATTACGTTGGTGGTTAATATTACATTGATTATTACGTTATTAGGTGATACAGCTGTCACAATAGTGGTAGTTCGTTTCGGCGAATGAATCTTTCCGTGGTGTCAATCTATTACCATAGAATCAATAAGAGGAGGGCCCCGATCGAATACGCGATTGTTCTACAAACACACTCTTTGTTCCCTGGTCCCACAAACATGGTATTGTTTTATGGGGCATTAGCAATTATATTTTTTTCTTGATGCTGAATATGGAAGGTTTGCAGTCGTTGCATTCTGACACTCAATGGTCTTCCATTTTTCGATTGAGCCTTGAAGTTGGGCGCCGTTGAGATTGCTTATTGGATCCACATAGCTATAAATGCCTATTATTTAATTTATAATTTATTAAAAAAAATCAATTGAAGGTGCACCTTGGGCGCATTCCAGGGATGGCACCAGGATTTTCTTGAACGGGGACCAATGTCCCCGACGATGATAAAGGTGGGCGTGCTCGGATGTTGCTCAAAATTTATAGAAAGTGTCCCCCCCACCCCAAAAAAAAATAAATAAAAAAATATGGAAATTTAGGGTTTTCAAATGCTTAAATGGATCATAGAG